CCCCCCCCCCCCCCCCCCCCCCCATGACCTTTGAGGGCTTGTCTGTGGCTTTTTATGCTGTCAGAGAACTGTCCTGGGAGGTCTTCTTCATCCCTTCTTGTCTACCCTGGTTTATCAACTTCCCCTTACTCTTGTTTTGGGGGCACAGTTGGATAGCCTCTTGTGTTTAGCTCACACTGGAGTGCAACCAAGCACACTGTTTTCACCATTTTCCCATTTATTTCCTTCCTCTGCATTACATCAGTGCTGTGTCAACACATTCAAGGGGTGGTATGGTGTAACTGAGTTCAAACTGGAAGGAAACCTTTTTAATATTAGAATGCTTCTGGCAAAAGATGAATATACCATTTGAACATGACCCGGAGTTACAATATGTGGAGATATACAGTCTATACTGCCCACTCAGCTCCTGTGAAAAGGAGGCAGGCTGGGTTGGAATTAAAATAGAGCCAATGTAAAGAAATGCTGCAGGGCTGGTCAGCTGTGACACACTATTGCTTATTTAACACTGGTAAGCTGACAAACAGCTTTGTGGATACTTGTGGTGCAATAATTTGGCAAATGATCGGCTTAAAGTATTATGTTTCACAGTTTAGTTGTTTTAGCTGGCATATTATGACCTTAACAAGAGCAATTTGGAGTGTGACTAACTAGTTTAGTGAGTTTACATTGTGCATTACCTGACTTTATGTATATCTGCCAACATATATGGTGATATTTATAACTATAATAAGCCAATATGGCCGATAATATCAGCCCTGGGATATGTCTGTCAGGTTCTTTTGTGCATAACAGAACATAATAATAGTGGAAAATCACATATTTGATACTATTTTAATACTTTGAAATAGTGGATCTGTCAACACGTTTGTGACTCACTGATTCTTGAGCACCCTGCAGTGCATATTTTCATGCTGCACTTTACAAAGGAACAACAGAAGTTGCCTCTGTTTATGAGTAATCTGTCTCTTGTATATCTGTGTCCCTGTAAACCCTGCAGCCTTTAACCATCAGTGAAATGACCTCTCGACGGTTTCTATCTTTGAAACATATGGGAACTATCCTTTCCTGCCACCACATCATCAGTGCTCATCATGTGCGGCACCACCTGAGACGAGCCTCTGCCTTGTTTGGATAGATGACATGGGCCTTTCCAAAATCTGAACATAAAAACAGCTGTCTACAAAGCTCTGCTGAATGGCTGCGAGGAAAAACCAACATGCAGTCTGTATATAAAACCATTACAGGGCTTTCATGCCCGATGCCTACGAGGCAGTCTTTGAAATTAGATTCAAGAGCATGTTGGGGAAACGGAACTAACTGATCAGCCTCAGCTACATTGCTAAGACATGTCATATTGACACGAGGACAACACAATCCCATATGGCCAGCTATGCCATAGCAACCACACACTATACATGGTCAGAAAAACATGCTATGATGAAGAGCATGCCAAAGTATCCATGACAAAATGGGTAGGGGTATTTAGCCTGAAATACATCAGGGCAAACTAGGGAAACACACAGAGCTTCAGCAGCTGGGCCCAAAAGAATTACAAAAAAGACAAGATTATTGAGAGTCCTCAATCCCACTTCAACCAGAGCTGTGCTGTATTCTGACGGTGTTAGATGTCACATATTGGACTTGTATAACAGCTATCAAAAGAATAATTTCTAAAGCAGAAGAGGAAGTCATAATGGAACACAATGAATAAGCAAGTGAGCATGCACAGTGCTTTTCACAGCCTAAAAAAACTACCTGCACTTCTGTCTGCCATCTGTCCGGCTATCAATCCATCAATCCTGTTCTCATTTTCTCTAATGCATCCGCCCACCCGCAGGAGCATTCTGGACTAATTTAGTCCCCAGATTAAAATCACTGAACTGGGGAATGTTGTGTGTGCAGGGCAGGCTTCTGCTTACAGAGCGCCTGCTATTTCCTGGTGGAAGTGTGTGATGTGACGGCGGCGTATGAAGCCACGCTAATGGAAAACTTCACAGCATGCAATGGTTGGTTTTCATGTATGCACAAAAGGGAGCCAGAGAGCGAGGAATAGATGGCAAAGAGAAAATGGAACAATGCTACGAGTGTGGTACTGTAGAGGCTGTGTACAATTAGATTGTATAGTCCCTCTGGACAAGGAACAGCGTGTGATTATTAACGAAAGAGGAGCTGGATAATTTGTTTTTTTAAAAGATTTGTTAACTCCCTGGAAGGTTGAAAGGTACCCAATGAGGTTTAAATTGTATTTCCATTGCCTTCCATTGCATTTGTATAGACCGTTTGATCACTGAAAACAAAGACAATATTTATAAAATGCAACAGATTCAGAAGCTGCTGCTAAGCTGAATCTACATACATGTGGCAGGCAAGTGGACAGACATTCCTACGTGAACTGCCGCATTGTGTCTTTACTTCTCCATCGTCTATAACGGCACTCTTCCTCATGCAGAAAGCGTACTCCTAATTCACCAAAATGGTGTTTCCATGGCGACTGGCTCGCATTAATTTTCCAAGGTGAGTGGCCTTGTTGTGCTGTATTGTGTGTTTGGTGTGTGGTATTTCACAGACGTGAGGCACATTTCCGAACACTCCCCAAACAGTCAATGAAAAGTTGTCTTACCCATGAACTCAATCCCGAGTTCATCCGCTGTTCCATTCATGGCCAGATAGCAGCATGAGAAGAAGGGAGGGAATGGGTAAGCAGGGAGGAGAGAGAGAGAGAGAGAGAGAGAGAGAGGGAGGGGGGAGAATCAAACAGTTACAACATGATGTGCCACTATCTTACTCAGAATTCACCTTAGGGGAGAGACACATGCTGCAACTAGACCATAAAGTTGGTTTGACGGCTTTCTCTGACACGGCTCTCCCTTGTGCACCAGGTAATGAGCCAGGCAGCCCCGGATGCTTGGTATGCTTTTGCGAGATACACTTTGAATTCACACAGCCTACAGTGGCTTTGAATGAAGAAAGACAACAACAAAGATATGGGGGCTGAGAGGATTAGAGGAAGGATCATAAAAATAAAAGTTGAAAATGACATATCATGTAGCTTTATGTCGCTGACGTTGCTTTGCACGGGGCTTATGTATTGATTTGAGCCTGAGGTGTTGCAGTAATTGTCCTCCTCTGTCTCCAAGCATAGCTTTTCAATTGTCAATAGCTGGTCACTTTTAAGACTAACACACATGTTTACATGCATGCGCAACTGTAGGAATACAGTGTGCTGCACTCTTGTCTGTATGCTTTTGTCTCCCCCACACGCACACACATACGCACGCACACACACACAGTCTTTCTTCATGCAGTTAAGTCTTTTCTCCCCAGTCCCAGTGCTGGGGAAACAGATAAAAAGGAGCACTCGTGTTCTTTCCATCCTGACAGTGCCCCTTTTTCATGTCACTGTAATGTAATCTCATTTAAATTAAAATGAAAACCCTCACTAGTAATTGCTTTTCTGACAGAGGTGGTCTGAGTTTTAAATAGAATGTGGCTTGCCAAGCTCCTGACAGATTAAGTAGCGGGCACTCTCAAAAAAAGAAATAGAAAAGGCTAACAGAGAGAAAAAATAACATCTGTTCTTGGATGCATTTTGATTGTACATTGGGAAAATATGTCAAGCCAGTCGTATGAGGAAAAATAAAAACACCCCAGAGAATGAGTGAGTTTCACATAAATGACCGATGAACATTTGGATGAATGGATTTATAATAATTGCACAAAGTTATCTCGCTCTATTAAGGGGTGTGATTTGAGGAAATAGATATTTTTTATTGTGCATGATCACATTTGAAATACAGTTGGCAAAATTAGAAGATTTAGGGGAAGTTTCAGAGAGCACTTGATCCTTTGTATTCAATAGAAAGCCAAGTATTTACTCTATGACTGCCTATAACTGCCCAGGATTCCTGTGATAACCTGTGGAAATAGAAAACAAAGGCAGGTCTGAAATCCCCTAATTAATCAACCGATTAACAAATTAATTTATGTTTGTAATTAAATAGGAAGTAAGTGTCATCATGTTTTTAATGAACACAATGTCAGTTCATCCTTTTCAGATTATATCTTGCAGCCTCAAGGATTATTTATTACACTCTCCTACTGATTCATAGTCAGTATAATAACAACTCACAAATTAACGATCAAAACAATCAATTCTAGCCTGCGGACATTATGCTTTTCGCCGTTAGGAGTTTTGAGGTATAACTGCATGAGTCAGATGCGGACGACAATTTAGTTGCTAGGCGCTTACTGTCACTGTGGAACAAACTTTTGGCAAGGCTAAAGAAGTGAATGCAGTATCTCACTGATGTCGCCTGATCTGTATTATCCATTCAAGCCTTTCTCTGTGATTGCCCATGGCAACAGCCAACACTTTCCTCCCCTCTAAATCGCCCTGACTGTCACATCCTGTGCAGATGATGTCATTACAACACTGATACACATCCCTCGTTCTGGCACTGCCTTGTCTGGAGACATACACCAATCATAATACATGCAGGCTCCCAATCCGATGCACTGGCAACTCAAAGCTCGCCTGGGAATCACTTACGCCGTCTTGTGGGAGCCTTGAGCAAGCCTGAAGAATACCTGTGCATCATGTCAGAGGCTCTTGGCCCGATTAAGAGGCAGAAAACTGGCAGGTGGGAGAGACAATGGCAGAAGTGAATCAAATCCTTAATCCCCTCCTTCGTTTGGGGGAGCAGGGAACTGGGAAGCCAATGTGTCTATGTTTGTTTGTGTGTGTGTGTTATTGAACTCAATATCCTGTGCAGCTACTTACTCCAGACTTAATATCTACCAGAGATAAATAGTTGAACTTTGAGGCTTGTCTACTTCCTCTTTGTAAATCAGCTGGGTAAAACCAAAAGCCGGCTCACCTCCCTCCCTTTCCTCTTCAATCTTCCACCAAACATCACATATGTAGCCTCAAAGGTGCAACCAGCACAACTAAACCAACATTAGTTGCATGCCCTTACCTATCCAATTAAAGACCCCGCCATTTTCCCACTCTGCACCAATATGCAAGACCATGGCACCTTCTCTCCATCTCATCTCCAAGGCTGAGTTCACAGCAGTGTAGTTATAGTGCCTAACAGGGAGCCTCTTTGTCCTTTTGTTCCTGAGCTTTTCAGATGTGCGCGACAGTCTTTCTACCTCTGTAAGGATGTGTGTATGACGGAGTGGCAGTGTCTGTGCAAAGCCAGTGCGGACTGCTCTGTTGAGTGGCTGCCTTGTGGCCAGTCAATACCAAGACAAAGCGTAAGAGGCGATGATGATTTGTGACTGTGAGGAGACACGGGGATTGATTTTTATCAAAAAAGAAAGGTTAAAAGAGAAAAATGTGCGTGGCAGATGAAACTTTTCTCCTCCCAGAGTGTGATTTGTGTCTAACGCTGAAGATGTAGTATTAAACTCTGCTTGTAAAACAAGCATGTAAAAACAAACCCGCTCACACACACACTGACACACATACTTGACTGAATTGAATTTCACTGGAGCTCGTCCCACTTGTAGTTGCTGATATTGTGTGCATGTATGCCTGCATGTTATTATATGATTTGCCTTTAGAATGCAGGATAATCCTCAAAACCCTTGGTAATCTGGGTAAATTTTAGATTACTTTGTATCAACAGAGATCAAAATAGGCTTCCTTGCGTGCACGCGTGGAGTGGCGGTGGAATGCTTATCATTTTTTTCCCATGATAGAAGATGTTGTGGATGAGTTCATGATACAAAATTACGACTGACTAAGATTCCTTAAACATGTAATGACAAAGCTTTAATGAGCATTTCTTCTTCCTTTTTAGCTATTTGATGGATATTGTAATATGAATATCGTTTTTTTTCTCCAGTACATTCAAGAAAAGAAGAAGAAAGAGAGCTCTTGCACCCCAATAACGAATATACTCTCACTAGCTGGCTTGCTAGGTGATGCAAATACGTCGTGGCAGGTGTATGCTCATGCCTCGAGGAAGCACAGTGTCGAGTGTAAAAGTTGTTTGGATGAGCGGTTCTGGAGAAAGCTGCAAGCAGCAATACAGCAGGCCGAGCATTCCACTCGTTCACAGCAGGCGGGCAACTTTCGAATGCACACCGCACTAGCAACTAACTCCTTGCTTTCCATGAGATTCTTATATTTTCATGACAAGTCTGGCGAGGCTGCACTTAAGATCATATCATATTGTTGTACGCCGGATGTGTATATATGTATATATACATATATTTATTTATATGTAGTGTATGCGGTGTTGGCTCATGGGGATGATTCTGGGCCACAAGAGTTGACTTTAGAGAGGATACATAAAGTCAAAGTTTTGTGTACATTCAGTAATAACTGTGACATGTGGAAATGTTATTCCATACATTTATTTGAATCCATTTTTATTCCCCCCAAGGTATTTTGAACTCCACTTGTTTATAGTTTTAGCTGGAGACAGTAACTGTCTTTTATTATAATGTAATATAATGACAATAATTTAAGGAAACAATCTCATTTTCAGGTTCATTCTTGTATTTTAGGTTATTTGACAGTTAGTGGGTAAGCAGGCACCCCAGATACCCAAACATTAACTTTTCTTTCATGCTAGATTTTTTTTGGTCAAGGTCACTGAATAATTTCACCCCAACAGGACTCAAGAAATGATTCATATAAATCAATCTGCAATTAAAAAATGACCTCATGGCTCATTGTTTACACTTCATAAGCAACCTGTGACGGGGGGCTGCCAATAGATATAGCTTTGTTTTAAGCGGTCATAAGAAGAAAAGCTCTGAATACAACACAAGCAGTAGCGAGAGCAGTAACAGTGCAAATGTAGCATTATAACTTAGGAGTTAATGTTGTTTTCTGGGAGATTCCTACTCTTATAGTTTCATAAGCTTATCTTCAGCAACTGTAAAAGATGTTCCTGAAACACAGTTTTTTTCTGAAAGGTCTTCTGTATCTTTAATTCACTGACAAAATCAATCCAATTCAATTTTCTGCTTCAATCCTGCTATATTTTGAAATAGGAATCTTTTCCCAAGAATCATTTTGTGTTGAAGCGCTTTCAGTATGCCCATACACATATAGTTTCTAAATTTGTAAATAACACCAAATGTATGTACAGCATATTCTATTGCAGAGTCTTAAACTATGTGCATACAATGGCATACAATACCTTTTCCATCAAACAAAGCATATTTTTGAATTTGCCTTCTGAAGTCTTATTGTCTTATACATTTTAAATAAATGCAAATGTACCATAAATGTTTTGTAATCTGCTGTATTTATTTCCTCGGGTGTCCATTATTGTGCAAAACAATACAACTCAGCTTATCTCAAAGAGCAAACATAAAATCTCCTGACCTGGACACGCACGGAAATTGATGTCTGCCTACAGAAGATAAAATACATTCCACTGTGAAAACTGGCTGCGATGAGGGAGAAAGAAACATGCTTTGTGACACTGGCTTGTGACCCCATTAATAGACTCTCAGTGGGCCTGGTGGCGTCAAACAGAAGGCAATAGAAGTTAAGTTTTCTCTCTGACTCTTGGTGCAGGGGAGCCAAGTCACTCCATAAAACAGTGTGAATTTGTAAAGCCGCAGCCTCATGGGAAACGCTCTGGGCCACCAATTTCTCTTCCTTGTACCTCTGAATTTTGCTTTATTTTCTAACTACTCTACACAACTGTCATGGGGATTCAAAGACTCCTGGTGAATTGTTTGTCATAAGGAATAGGAAACTATTCCTTCCTTTCAGCGAGACTAAAGCAAAGCCAGATTAAAGACTGTAATAAAAGATAGAGGAGGATTTATGCACATGTTTTAATTCTAATATCTAAATGGTAGCTCTGTGCCTATGCGGGCCAATAAAGAAACGCAGTCTGATGATATGCATTATGCCTGTCTCTAGTAACTAAATCATGTTTCAGTGCTGTAATAATGTCCAAATTCAGATTAAAATGGAAATATCCACATTATGACAGTATTAGTAAATGTATCACCACGTGTTATGAAAAAAATAGACTGGATGGAAATCGAAACATTAAGCCTAAAGTAGATAATGCAGCAACTGAAATATCTGTTCTTATGAATTAAATGAATGCCGCAGATCAATACACCGATATAGTAGGGTATAAAATAGAAAGGAGAGCGTACTTGGGTCTGACAAGATAGCGTCTGTCTTGGGTACAAACTGGTCACAGCGTAGTCCATGGTAGCCTTCCTTACACCTGTGTGAGAGAGAGAGAGAGAGAGAAAAAAAGAGACAGAGAACAAGATTAGAAGTAAGACAAACCAAGCAAAAAGTACCAGAGTACAGCATGAACTATCTGCTGAAGACTTCCAGATAAGGAAAGTTGAGAAGAGGAAACCTAGAAAGAAGATGAAATGGATGGTGAAAAGTTGAGTGCTCACCAAGGACTGAGGTGGTAGAGGGAGATACACAGAAACCGTCGAGAGGGGTGGGGTGAGAAGAAAGAGAAAGGAAGGGGAAGATAGTTTGGGCAGGCCTAAGCGACGTCTGCAGCCTCACTGATAGCACATGACTGACAGGAATGCCAGGTCCCAGTGGAAGAAATGGGGTACTGGGATGGAGAGTACTTGGCGTGATGCAGACAACTCAAGATCTACAGTGCGAAGGGAAGCTGCCATAGTTGGAACGCTCATATAAACAACGTCCTGGCACAGTCCACATATTTGCCTTCATCATCAAATAAATATCTCTCCACTGTTGACGCCTGCAGATCCCTCAGCAACTGTCATAAATATATCCAGCGAAATTATGACATTTTCAAGTTTGGCTGGGTATGTTGCAATATCTCAGCAATACCCTCATCGTTCTACATTAACATACATGTATAATTCCCGTTAATGATTGAGGATTTTTACCAATCCTGTGATATTAACTGAATGAAAAAAACGCTTGAATAACATACTTGTTCTGTCAGAATAAAACTTGTAAAGTTACGCACAAAATCAGGTCATAAATATAAAGTTTGCTGTTGTCCCTCCGCACTCAGCCTGAGTTTGGCACAATCCTCAATAGTTTTTGTCTCAAAGAGGACTTGGGCATTTTTTATTCCTATCGTCAGTAGTGGCCACACTGTGAGCACATCCAGTGGGCTGATCCATCCCTTTGCTCTTTCACGGCTTAGGGGAGACAATTGGGGGATTTGCTTTGATGTGTCTCTTTCAACATAAACTTGTACTTGAGTGAGCGACATGTCAGAGTTGTCTATATTTTCTCTATTCCGTCGGTCGATGACATATTGTAGGTAAACTGCAGGGATTTGCTGCTCACACATTATCCGTCAATATCTGTCCAGCACATTTCCACCAGTGTCACCGCTCTCACACATACAGTGTAATGTCCTGGATGAGTGACGGGCAGAAGTCGACCGTTCGCTCTCACACAGCTCACAATCTGATAAAAAACAACAATGCCAACAACAACAACTGAGCTATGTAGAGCAAACTGAGCAAGCGATGCAGATCACAAGTTGTTGGTTTAGTTGGTTAAGAGTGAAAACATGTGTAAGATTGTCATCTTGCACAGTTTTTACATCTCAAGCTGCAGTTTCAGCTTCCATTTGTTCGGTGTGTCTCAGCTCAGTATGTGTAGTTTCTTATACCTCCTATTCCCTCTGTAATGCAGTATGGAACTGCACCATTGATGAAAATGAATAGGATACTGTATATGGTCCTCTTATTTTGTGCTGGCTCAAAGCTGACAGTGGTGTTAATGCACCTGCATCTCTTTTTTCACTCGGCGTCCATATTATGCACCTGTTTGGTGATGTCGTGGCTCCAAAGTAAAAAATGCTCCTATGGTAAGTTAAGTGTCGTGAAGATTTGGTGGCACAATTTTGGTATTTTCTTTGTCTCGATGAAGCTTTTAAGATATACTGACTGAATTTTTGGCCACTCAGAGACAGTGAGAAGCATCTCTAAACACAACACTGACATATTTTTTATCAATTAAGTGATATTCACTCTTAATTTGATCTTTTTCTTATATTCATGTACCAGAAATATCTGGCTCTTTAACTGTTAAATGTTCCACTCTGTTCACCAGGTGGTTTTTTCTGTCTGTCTTTTGGGGCTGGAGAGCTAATAGTGGGGTTTGTAGAGCTTTTCTTGCTGAAAAAAGCAGCCTGCTGCTTCTGGAAACGACAGAATATGAGAGTGTGGTGAGTTAATCAAATCAGTAAAGTTTGATGCCAGAAAACTCAATCAATGACTTTAAAGAGATTGTAATTCTTCATACAGCTGATCTGCAGAGTCGTGTTCTTCATTAAAAGTGATCCTTTCTCCTCCCATCACATATAGCCATTTGTTCCATTGTAATTATAAAAATACTGATTATAGCCCCACAGAAAAAATCGAATTGAAAGATGCACAAAACATTTTAAATCATGGGTGTGCTAGAAAGTGAGTTTGAAAAGCTTTTGAAATCTCAGTGCCGTTCACAGAGATCAGCACTGCTCTCAAGCTGCAGGGCGTGATCGTTGAAACTGTCAATTTGTGTTATATGGTGGTAAAAACTCTCTAACTGCACCTTTTAAATAGTGCAACTCATTACTGTTCAACTGATGTGTGAAAAATACCCTTTGGAAAACCTCAAACTCTTCATTTCATTTATAAAGTAAAAAACAAATACCTCGATCGTTATCCGCTCAGGCAAGCAAAGGAGGGGAGAAAGAACTTGATTCTCTCCTGTCATTGTCTCTCCCACAGACAGACGTCTACCTTTTAATCGGACTGAGAAAAATGACTAATGCAAAGTCTTTGGCACGTAGAAACAAATAAACGAGAATATGTTGTTATGTTGTCCTATAGAGCAGCACACAGAGCTACTAATAGACCAATAATACCTAACAATAATATGACAATATCTTGGTCTGACAATTGGAAATGCTCCTTAGTAGAACAGATATGATGACCAAACAAATTGAAGAATTCATTGTTGGCAAAATCGTGTTATGCAGACAATACTGTAGTTCCTTCTATTCATACATATTACCCCGGCTCTTGTTCACATTTGTGAGCCAGCGCTGGTTTTGTTAATCATTTGCATAATACAGTATAGTACAATACAAGTGTCTGTGCTGAATAGCATTAGTTGCATTATCATGGTCATTGTTCATAATGCACTCAGTATGCAGCTTACAAAATAAAAACAGCCAAAGCCAACATGATTTAAGTGATCTGAAAAAAAAAAACGCTTTGAGAAAAAATATAAATCAGAATATCCGTTTAAAAATTATCATTATCTAGCATAGAGATACACCATTAAATCAGACCACACGTTTTACAGTGGAATGGAATATGGACAAAAAAAATGTCATATGATGCGCAAATTAAAACTGCTTTTGACGGGAGTAATTAATACAAGGCCACAGTGGGACTTCAAATAAGAAAGAAGCTGAAGTTTCTGACACATATTTTCATCCTACATCCGATGTTAAGTTGTCAAACACACATCACAGGAAACAGAGAGCCTTGCTGATGCTGATACTTTCCGGGTAGCCAGATACAAACTTTGTGTATCCCTTTGTTCGCAGTAAAAAACTGATTCCCTGATTTGGTATGAAACTCAAGCACTGTCCCTTTTTTTGTCAGACTGCCAGTCACACTCAAACAGCCAATCCTGTACTGTACAAATTCAGGGAGGAACGCAATGCGACCACACAGATTTCAAGGGTAAATCGTCCCTCCCCTGCCATTGCCTGGCTCTGCCCTGTATCACCTTCTATCCCTGGGTGTGAGCTGAGACGCCTTGTTAGTATTCTGAATCACGAACCCAAAGGCAGAACGCATGTCTGGCTATCTGTTTACGTCTGGGCTTTTTTCTGTTTGTCTAAGTCTCCATCTCTCCCCTCCTTCCGTCTTTGTAGCACTGTGAAACAAGCTCAGCCATCCCTCAGTGAGATGCAAACAATGCCTTGTAAATGTGTTTGTGTGAACATGGCGTCAAATGGATGATAAACAATGTGAGATAATGACGCGCTTTGAGTATGTGTTTGGGCGTGTATCTTCCAATGAGGGCAATGGGGGAACAAGAGCTTGTATTTATGTACGTGTGCGTCTGTTCGTTTGAAAAGGGGGACATATCTCAAAGAGAACCCAGATGTGTTTGTGTGGATCGGGGTATATGCGACAGCTTTCTCAAGTGTGTGTGTGTGTGTGTGTTTATGTCCTGCAGCCGTTGTGTGTATGAGCAGCAGCTATGGACTCGGAGCATGTTTTCCCCCACTGCTCCGGAGCTGTGTCTACCCAGCTGCCTTTAACACATGTTCAAGTCACGGAGAAAACACACCTCTGAGTCTGTAGGATGACGGAGGGGGTGGAGAGCGCTGCCTCATAACTAATCACCACCCTTCCTGCTAATTAGCATGAAGAAAAATGGAGGATAGTTTGAGTGCAAGGGGAGGGAAAAGAGGTTCAAGGAGGAGAGAAGGGATGGGAGTGTGATTGTGTCAACCAAACTTTTCATTTAATCCCTGACGCCCATGCATGTTAGCTTCCATATGTCGCATAAAAAAAGTCCATATGAGCTACAGTTTTACTGTGAGTAGACTGGATGAACTCAGGCTTGTAACTTACTCTTTGATACACAATATTTAGTGGCCATTGATCGTTTCCTCTCACTTTTAACAGCATCTGTTGACAAATGCAAATTGCACAGATCATAGGGAACGTTTTACAAGAAAATGAACAAGACTTGATGAGATAATCAATGTTACTGACATGTCAGTGCAGTAAATAGGGTAAAATTATGCCCAGCCAAGAAATAGTCCCCTGCCAACATACACAACCCCCCAATTAAAGCCAAAACATGTGGCTTTTATGCTTAGGTTTTCGTATAGATTAGAAAAGAAGATATAAGGTGTTACTGTTAGTGAATTTTAGAGGTGCAGTTAGGCCGATTTTTGTCACCTTTGGACAGAGTCAGGCCAGCTGCTTCCAGTGTTTGCAGTCTTTATGCTAAGCTAAGATAACCAGCTCCTGGCAGTATAGCTTCATGCTGGACACGAGAGTCGTATCAATCTTCTCATCTAACTCTTGGCAAGAAAGCAAATTAGCATATGCTCTGAAGGAATTACCATCCATTCTGACTTAATTAAAAGCTGCGGTTCGAAGTTCATTCTTGACCTCAGTTTCTGCCTCTGCTAATGGAGAGCAAGTGATTGAAAGCTCAACAGCAGGTGCTAAATGGACCTTCATTCAG